AATATATATATATATATATATATATATATATATTATATTATATATTATATATTGTATATATATATATTATAATATATATTATATATATTATCGATATATAATTTCCGCACGTTCAAACTCTTGATACGTCCTTCATTTCTTTCGGCAACTTCTTTATCAAAACGTTCGTTGCATTTGATATATAAAATATATTCTGCACGGTCTGTTCGACGCGCGCGGTAGAAAATGTCGGCAAACAAGCCTCTGAATTGAATTACAACCTTACCGCCTCTACGACGTCTCCTTTCTCCTTCTACGACTGCATAATTGCGTAATATATTTCTCAGAAAATTACCTGAAAATGAGCCAATTTTCTCCGCATCGCGCAAGAATGTTCGCAATTAGCATACTTGCACAGTCGAAGCGGATTACACGAAGTTAGTTGCAACGGCGTTCCCGTAATAAATTCGTTCTCGGAACTTCTTAAACCGACCCCGCCGTAGAACCATTACACGATCGCTGCAACACGAAGGCGTTAAGGCGTTCGATTGTGGTGATAAATAATTCCGTGGCCACGTTAAATCAGATTTGCCGTGGTAAACATCGTTCGGATGATCAGGCGTTCGGTTCCGTCGCTGCGCCAGTGATATAAGAGCGAATTGGGTCAGCCGGTGGCGCTTCCACCGCGTCGTATCGTAACTTAAAAAGCAAACTCGAGGTGTTCCAGGTACGCGAGACGGTCTTTCCACGGTCCTGATGCCCGGCAGATTGGTCAGCGTGCCCATTAAACGAGATTAGTGAGCCGGGGAACAAGCGAGGGCTATTATTTGCCGAAAGAATTTCGTTTCTGCCGGCGAACAATACAGCGTTTCGCTGTTCTTTGTTCCGCGATTCGAGGATTAAATTAGAGTGCACGGCGTTCGCCGTGACAAAGGACTCGACACATACCTCGCCAGTGCCAACAGCGCGAAAAATGCTGCGTCGCAATTATTTCCTATTTGTGTGAAAGGAATTACAGCTCGGTTGTTTATGGGCCGGAACTGCGCCGGCTAAATTGAAGTTTATAAAAACCGCGTTAACACGGGGTGTCTTCGTTAGAAAATTACGCCGGGGCCATCTGCGGCATACGCCCGCCGTTTTGCAGAAGTTACGATCGCCGCACGCGCGATCGCAATCATCGTAATTGTTCGTTAAACGTTCGCGGTGCAACCAGATACATATTCGTGACCGGGAGAAATTGTTAGGAACGGAAGCCTGTGCACAGTTTAACAAGTTTTGCTCGTGATTGAAATCGCCATGGACTTGACGATCGAAGTTTTTTTTATTTGAAACGACGTATCGGAAAATTTCATCGACGATTTTTCTCCGTGATTTTACTGCTCTCTGAACGATTATTTCAGTTTCACGATAGAATAAATGCATAGATATAAACCAAATTACCGAATTCTTTTTTACAAAGGCGTTCCACGTTAGCGTTGTTATTCTTTCCTATTGTAAGCCACGAACGAGTCTTAGGATTCCTCCACTTCCGGTCACGCGAAGAGGTCCACGAGCGGCCGCTTCGCGATTGATTTATGATCTATCGATCCCCGAAATTACTGGCCAGGACATCGCAAAAGCAAACCGTTTGGCCATTAACACCGCAGGATCTTAATTAACTGCCGGGAAACGAGAAAAATTATAAGTGTCGCCGCAGGGTTCGGGCAATTCATCCAAGGCAATTCCATTCCGGCTGTTAATTATTGATACGTCGCCGAATTATTTACGCGCTGCTGCGTCATTCTGCTCCTTTATTACACGAAATTGTTGCTTCGACGACCTCTCATTCTTCGCGTCATCATCCTTTATTGCCGTGTTACATGAGCACAGCGCTCGGGACAGCGCAGCTTTACAACTCGACTTCGAACTATCCTTCGAATTTCTCTAACATCCGTTTCAGAGTCAAAGATTTATTTTTTCATCGAATCATTTCGTAGCTGTCCAACCTTCATTTTTGAGAAACTGCGCTCGTTACTTATTATTAATTACAGCTCGACGATCCTTTTAACTTTTAAGCGAATCCAAGGGATTAAGTCTTCCAACTTCCAGCTTCGTTAATTAATCAGCATAAAATGGTGGATCCAGACTTGTCGTAATTCCTGCAAAAAAGAAGAACGTAAACTGCTGCGTGCTCCGGAATTTTCTCCGAAGGGCTCTAATCGATGAGAACAATAAGGGCACGATGTAGTGGCCGGACGTGCCAAAAATACAGATTTATATGTTGTTTGCCGTGGCGTTGATACTCGAGCCAGATTTATTGGTTATTTAATATAATCCCGGGCTCGTCCGTGCGTTCACTTTGTTGTAACAATAAGACGAAGGATCGGACTCCCACGGTGTCCGTCGCACAGGAGCGAAGCGAGAACTATTAGAGAGTCCGAGCACGTAAGGACAAGTAATGCGATTTCCCCGTCTTTGTGCTCACAAGTGAGATCACATTCGGATCAACGAGACTTATTTACTCGATATTCCGTGACCGTCTTGTGTAACACAATACCCTCCTTCGTTTTCTATAGCATCGACAAACAGTGGACCCTCTTTCGTAACCGATCGCTCCTGCGAACTTTCCTTTCCCTGGCATTTCCTCGAGAGGATCACCTGACACTCGTTCCTATCCGCACCCCTCCGATGTCAAAGTTTCGGGAAGGTGCCACTAATTTTGTGCTTTTCGCTCTCCTTCGATCTTTTCTCAACTATTTTCAAAAATAATCCTAATCGACAGAAAATAATATTTTAGCCGAGTTTCGAAATCCGAATTTGGTGAACGTCGACTTTCGACTTAATTATTCCCTCTTTCCTTCAATTCTTCTACACTAATTTCAAGAGTGATCGCGACCAATAGCGAAGTAAAATAATTTCTTAGCCATCTTCGAAGAATGAAAGGTAGAGACAGTGCAGATGGAAAAATGTGGAGGCCGCTTGAAATTCTACCTCTTGGCTCGCCAATGTAAAATACACCTCGGGATACTCCTTTGCATCCGGCCACGGACACAGCTATAAATGTTAATGCTTTTTATGATAACGCCGGGATCCTGGTACGCATCCCGCCGCACGATTTAATGGAAAAACCTGTTGCTGGAAAATTGATTTCCCTTCGGACTCCCGCGTATCCATACGCAACGAGCTAATCTTTTTGTCGTCCGAAGTTCCTCGGCTGTGTTTTTAATCGGTCGCGCTCTTTGTGCGCGGGCTTGATTAACTTGTAAATTGTTGATTAGGTGTCTAGAACTTGAAGCAGTTAGAAGCCACGGTAAAAAATCAATTGCACTCAGGGAATTCTCGTTCGCCCGCCTTCCAAGATTACCGCCACGCTTAGCGAAACAAAATTCCACGAAGAATTTGTTCGTCTTCAAATGTTGATCTTTGAAAAGATTGCTGGACGATCTTTGGCGGACGAAGCGATAAGAAACTGAATTTCTTTTAGAACATGAAAGATCACTTTTTCGGCAATTGCTTTAAGATTCCGTGTTTTTGTTTCTTTTTTATCGAAGGAGGAAAATGATGGGCTCAACGGTGGTGATCCTCGTTTCGATGACGACCATGGCAATCTTCTGTAACAACGTTCTAGCAGCTTTGCCGACCCAATGCAATCCCGGATTTCTGGACGATCTTCCCCCTAGGATCCGCAAAGTCTGCGCGGCTCTTTCCAGGATATATGAGCTGGGCTCAGAGATGGAGAGCTACATCGATGACAAAGAAAATCATATAACAGGTGAGACGAGTCTTTGGTTCGTGTCGGAAACGCGTGTAAAACGGGCAACGTTTCGTTTTTTGTTTTTAGGTTTTCACGAGAGCATTCCCTTGTTGGACAGCGGCGTGAAAAGACAGGACGTCGACCATGTTTTCCTCCGTTTCGGAAGGCGTCGTTAGGCCGCCCGCAAATTATGCTTTACACTAAGAAGATACTGAACAATTTACCTCTCATCACTTGATCGTCTCATCGTCCCAGCTACTAAAGGATATTTTACGAATTATTTTAGACATTAATCGTGCAAACTATATAACGAGAATGACTCGCTGTTTCTGTATAAAGCGCACTGCGTTCGAACGAGGCCTAGCTGCGCCGATGGGGTTCGTTTCTTCTTGCAAATAAATTCTTTAGCCAAAGCAGAAGCAACATGGACCGACGTCGATTAATTCATTCAGCTGGAACTTGATTTTACTTCGTAAGATAAATAACGGAGCGGTTATGCAGCCATCTCTAATAATATTTTCTTTGATCGGGACCCTTTCGTTCCGATGTAATTTCGAATATCCGAGGGACTTCCTATAATATTAACGCGGATATGCTTCGAGAAGTGAAAGGAATAAATATTAATGGAAAGAAACCTTATTAAAATATCACAAATTGTTGTTTATTTTCGATGTTTTGAAAGAATAAAATAGCTTTCTTCCCTAATGACGATCCGGGGTTTATTAAGTCTTAATATATAAAACTTAATCGGCTGAAATCTAACTTCGAATATCCACACGCAAGAGACTTTATCTTTCCTATAACATGAACGTCAGAATGATTTCAGACATAGGGAATACATATTAATAAAGGAAACCTCATTAAAATATGACAAATTGATGATGCGACAAAATGACGTTGCGTAGAACTCCTTAAATTCAACACAAGCTAACCATTTAATTAAATTATTGTAAAAGGAAGAAGACACACGAACAATTCACTTCGACGAAAATTTTATTTGATCGCGTTGCAACAGGGACAGAGTGATTAACGACTGTGTAAAAATAAAACGCAAAACTTGTTTCACAATGCACGTCCACAGGGTGACTGATTTTTGTTAACGACAAACAACAACCGAGTGTAAAATGTTCAAGACACATACATAACAATCCAATGTACAAGGTATATTTCGTAACCCTAACCGATAATCTAGTTCACCACGATTCGTGCAGCTCCCAGATAAAACACATTCAAGACTCTTGTTCCCTCCGTCATAGGTGGAAAATAGTTTCGCGGATTCTTTATCGTTCTATTATCTACAAAATTTCGACTTTTTACAGGCCATTGACATTCCTACCCCACGTCAACGGAAACAGACGTTCCCGGCGTTGATATCGATCGTTAACAATTAAAAATATTGCAAGTAATCAGGTATAATGAACGTATGTATACTCCTACGCCATTTTCGTTCTTCATCTTCGAACACATTCTATGGCACTCAAGGAAACAAATCCATCAATCTCATCGATTTTTAAACATTTAATGGGCCCGGCTGGTCACTATAGCGACCGAAAATGAGATTCTTATTTAATTTGCACATGCTGAAAATGTTGATTAAAATCAACAGATATTATAAATATAATGTATCCTTGCTCCTCCTACAAAGATGATTAAAATGAAATTTAATTTTGAATATTAATGAAATTGAACTTTTAATGCTGACCCTCCAAAGATTAAAGGATAATCAAATCGCGTCTGATTAAAACTGAGGGGAAAATTGAGCTCTTCTCAGATGCCCTAATCATATGTATAGTTTGCCTGTAACGGTCCCTACAATGCTGTTGGGTGGGTGAAAACGATCCTCCGCAAACCTTTATATACAATTCTGAAGGCACCTCCTAATGATCATCAAAGCTTTACGTATGTCTAGAATCGCTGGATCGCGCATGTGCGTCGTGAGATCGCTTAGTATTTACGCTAGAACCGCTGGACTCGGCTAAAATGACACGTGTGAGCGTTATCTACCATCGACCTTGATTGCCACGACTCGAGGATTTAAGTACTTATGCTAAAATTTCGAATATTTACAAGCCCTATCCTATCACAGGATAATAAGTCGCGGCGCGTCCTGGTCGACCAATAACGTTCGCCGAAAAATCGAACTTCCGGCGTTGGTTTTCGCAATGCAGCTATGGTGGTGCCGAATGAGGAGGCTGGGGTCAGCAGTTTGAAGTTCCACAGTGCTTTTCGTTTGCGAAGTACGACACTGACACCACGTCCCCGCCAACATTTATCAAGCTCTGTCCCTGAAATGCAAGAGAAACTTGTTAGAATTACCTAAACTAATCCTAACTAAACATCTCATCATTATTGATCCTACTTGATTTTTATGGGGACTATGGAGCAGCACACACTTGGTCATAAAAAACGCCACCATGGCATTGCCTCCCAAGGCCGTTATGTGTGACCGAACTATTGCAAGAACCTCCATTATAAAACTGTGCGTGAACCCACTCAAACCACCGTTCTAAAATAAGTATACAATTCAGTTTATAGAAGTTTACTCATTTAAGTGAATTTCCAAAATGCAACAAACCTCTCTGATTGACGTACTCTCACGGATAAAGAAAAAGTTCAAGTTCCCTAGATACCTTTCTATCCGGCCACCAGGTAGATATGAAAGGGGAGTTATATCTACACCGTATCTCCCTTTTAGAGGCACCTGGAAATTTTGTATTAATTTTTATAACCTCGTACACGTATAACTGGTACACGGACACTCACATGTTTGTGTTTATGCGTTGTGTGAATCTTAGATCGCAATGGTGAACGAGTTCTAGACTTTAATCCTACAGTGTTAACTAAGTTAGAGGAGTTTACTGTGACACTGCTGGATGCATTGTCGGATGAAATTTCGGCATGGTCCACATCCAAATTAAATATCATGTCAGTGTCATCTGAAAAGACGAAATTATTCCATAAACATTTAGGTTGTAATTGCAGACAACTTTCTTGAATCACTTACCAGATTTTTTCACCTGATCTTTGCTCATAGAATGGGTTATTAGCTTCTTTCTGGGCTTATTCATTTTAACAGGATCACCTAAACCAAGAGCCATGCCTATCACCGTGAACTGTATCTCGTCTGGTTCAGGAAGGGCTAACTTAAACTGCATGTCGCAAAGGGCACACGGAATCATTTTCCTCAACTTGAAGTACACCGACTACAAGGATAAATAGATTATTGTAGTAACGCTACTTCAAGACAGAAAATCTTTATGCAAATAAAGATGTACCTGAAGTAGTTTAGCGAAACATTTCGAGGGCATGGACGCGAACTGCCCTGTAGGAATCTTCGTCCTAGAGATCTGTGTGAACATCTGTAAATTCCTAACGATCTCCAGCTCATCGAGTCCTGGGATCGTTTGAGTATTTACTACATGAAAGTCGTCAGGAGGTCTATCATCCATTAACAACGATATTCTATCCATATCCTCTATGTCATCGACTTCTAATACACAAGTATCCCTCGTACCGACGCTGAAATCCAAGTCAGGCAGCTCCTCGTCAGACTCGTCGGTGTCCGAAGTTGGAACTCGACCATTTTCAACATCCTGTAACAAATAAGCTATGCACTACCAGTTTAGTGTCTCTATCTTCATCTAGATAAAACTTACCGCAACAGGTTTAAGTCGATAGAACTCTCTATTTTTCTTGACTGTCTCCAACAAAGTTTTCTGGATTTCTGCTAGCTGTTCCTCCTTGTGCCAAGAATTCCCAGAAGCAATTTGTGGCACCGAAGGAGTAGGCAAAGCAGTCAGAAAGACAGCGCTACCTACAGCCATACCAATGATCAACCGTTCCCCGACAGAGACTTGTAGCTTCAGGCCGAAAATGGCGTTCATTCCCTTAACTTTTAATTTGTTTAGCAGCAAACTATGCAGCTCGTACTCTAAAAATGGCAAGCAATCTGATATCTCTTTCGCATTCAACTCTCCTCTGAGGTCTTTTTTATTTTTGCACACGGTGGCTTGTATTATACACCCCCTTCCAGTCATCGCAACATTCTCCGGGAGTTCTATGGTAGTAAACATCACATCTGGTACCCTAGCTCGCTTGCATATTGCACATTTGGATACGCTCACATGAAAAGGCACGCTCGTCTCGTTGTAGGGCAGGTGGCAAAGGCTACATTTACTTTGAAATTGAGCGTCGTGGTCTTTGCTTTCTGAGGTGTGTCTTACTTTACCACTTGTATGAGCAGAGGTCGTTATTGACGAGTCTGTTTCGCTTTTCTCTGCTTTTACAGGTACGGGTTTCTGTTGGGACTTTTCTATTTCCGCGGGATTTATTACTGTTCCCGATTGTCCTTTGCTAACGAACACATTATCGGCATCCTGACTCGAACTGTGCAAATTAATGACGGCTGCGGTACCATAAGCGTTCAACACGCAGACGTCGTCACTATAAAAATGAACAAGATGTAAGATGATGATTCTAATTGGCGCTAATTAATAGAATCTCTTACCAAATACTAGTTTCCTCCCTATAACCGATGACTACGTTGCAGGCCAATGCTCTAGCATGAGAACGAACTTCCATTCTAACTTCTTTCCACCAGCTATCTCGACTCTCAGGCTCCTCTAAATTACTGATCCTCTCCAGTAGCTTGACTGACCTTGAGCTTACAAGACCACCTACCTCAATATACGTATGCATTATTAATATTCGTAGAAATGATTTTTTTTTTACAGACGATCATCGCAGGTCTTACCGAAATGGAGGATAAATCCGGGCGGATATTGTTGCATAGTAAGAAAGGGATACTCTAACATTTCAAAAGCATCCTGGTTCATAGTTCTTATCACAGCCGTGGGTGTCTTTAGGAATCCAGTCATTGACCTATCAGTTCCAAGAGAATTACCTATAACACACAGTATAATTTGTTTTTAGTTAACCAGTCGACTTTGCATTTGATTCTGTGTATGTAATTATGTCTCTTTGCAAGAGGAATGTCTCATAAAGTGATACAACTACTTATTATAGCACATAGGCACCGTTACCCTAAGCAAGATATAGGCAAAGAAGTAAGTAATCGAAAAAGATGATTACCTATAACCGCGTGGGATCATCGTGACTAATGATAGTTTTTGGTACAGGAATGTCTTCTTTGCCGGGTATAACTCACTTTATGAGGCAACCTGTATTTTGAATCTGGACCCACAATGAACTACCTCAGGGGCAATGCATCGATGAATATAGTGCTGTCGAAGCACTATGCGATAGATTAGAACAAATAGAGTAATGTTGCTATAAGATGCATAATCAGTGAGATATAGCTTTATGCAATACCTGATAAGTTAAATATAGTTTTGTAATTATTCTGTCATGTAAAGACACTCACCTTTGGGGGTGATGCTCAGGTCAGAGTCACTGGATCTTCGATGCAATGACACTGCGGGCTGTGCCTTGGTCGTTGGTACCTGACAGACTTTTGAAACCATGGAGGGAACAGCCGGAAGTGGACAAGATGGACTTATAGATGCCTCGTCTTGTTGCCTGTGATCGGGAGAAGGACGGGACACACACGAGTTGTCAGTGATATTAGCAGTGTTAGTAATATTAGTGAATTCATCGTTGTTTGATATCTCGTTTATATTACAAATGCTATAACTCTTGTGTATCGCACGATCGATGGATGGGAGTGATGACAACTGGTTAGTATCAGTCGGTTTTAATTCCTTCATCTCTATGGCGCCGCTACTAAACCTAAGCGAATCGCTGCTCTGAGTGTCTACAGTTAATTCTTTGGCAGCGAGCTCATGCGATTTGAGATCGATTACGGATCTTTCTGTAATGAAACTCTGCCTCGAGCTGAACGACTCAGTTCTATGTGAGTGTGATTTCATTAAAGTGTCGCCAATGATTATGCTCTCGAGAGAGGAATTGTAGGAAGAGGAGTCAGGTGTCAATGGTGGCAATATAGATTCGTTCAGAGGATAGATAATGTCTGAGGACTTGTAGATCTGAAGGCGTCTTTTCAAACATTTATTGTGCAAACTTTTCCGCAGATTCGTAGGATGGATATTCCTATAGATTCTGTCTCTCTTCTTCCTTTTCAATTTATAATGATCGTTATTGTTGTAGCCATCGGGATGTTCCATCATCTTTGTATCAATTATTTTGATCAAGTCCAACATTCTGCGTTGCCTGTTCTTATGCTCCGTATTGTGCACATCGTTGCAAGAAGACTGTATCAAACTCTCAATGCTAGATGAGGTCTTTGATACAGAATCTATGGTTGCTTTACTGTCCATGATTTCTCTAATACAAGACTCTACAATTACAGAAGCCTGAAATTGTTGCAATGATGGTAGCGACTGGGACAGTGTAGAAAACTTCAGCACATTATGTTCTTCCAACTTATCAAACTGTTCGATGTCTTTAAACGAGCCTCTGCGGGAACCGTTGTCAGTTTCTTCATCGAATGACTTTTCTTCTTGGTGCACTTGGTCAAACGTTAGTCTATCATTTCTTTCCGTATCGCTGTTTTGCAATAAAGAGTATGCAGATGCGGACGGCTCAGATTCATCGACGTAGGACAGTTCATCATTTGTGTTATCAGTCTCTACTGGGGTGGGCTGGCGAATGGTAATTATTGGTTCTTTTTCTGTGTTAATTGATGTATGCTCATCCTCCACAGTTACCGGGAAGAACGGTGGCCGTATCTCTACAGGTGTGCTGGTCGCAAGAGGGCAACAGGAATCTTGTGAGTCTGATTTTTGCTGATGCTGCATATCGTCCCTAATAATTTGATTCACATTTGCTCTGTCGTTTCCATCTATATTATTGATTTGTGGTTTCATGGAGTGTGAGAAATTAAGCGGTATTTGATTTGTAGATATGCACTTAATCAGAAACGATGCATCGTCCACGTGAAGAGGACATGTCTCACTATCTGTTCTGTGTAATTTAATTCTCAATGATCTTGATCGTAGTGGAGGGAAAGTATCAGACCTAGTGAGTGCTCTGATCAATCTGTAATTTGTCCCTTGTTCTTCGTCAGTCGATATCTTTGAGTCACGTAGAACAACATAATTAGCACTGTCTATTGAAGAGCCATCCGAGATGTCATTAGAGCTAGGTGTATTCTCTTCGAACGACGAATCGAATTGTGTCTTTTCCTGAGCTTTCAACAACAAAGCGTCAACTTTCTCTCTATACTCTACCCTTTCTCTCTTTTCATTCTCACGTTCATGAATTGCATCTTGATCGTGTTCTGGAAGTTTACTATCTTCTTGCAAGTTATTACATGGCGTTGTTGGTGATTCATGAACCTCATTAACGTCTTCCAAAGGCACTTTGTGTATGGATTTGATCAGAAGAGAAGCTATGCCTTCCTTGCTCTTGCTATCTCTGAATATTTTCGGTCTTCTTGGATTATGTATGCTTGCTAATGAAGATCTAGCTGAGCTAGTCACGCGTGGGATCATTTTATTGTCTCCGTCACTTGAACCAAACAACTTCTTTAAGTTCTTCATACGAACGTCCAAAATACTTTTGTTGCTCTCACCTCTTTCGTCCTCCTGAGCTAGCATGATTCGTATAGAAGCATCTTGGATTACCGATTCGTTTAAACTCGAATAAGATACTGCGGATTTCTTCATATTGCTCACTCTCTGAGGTCTCTCATAAGATTTCCCATCTTCCGATTCATCACATGAATACTCTACAGCTTTCACAGCTCGTTTTGGTCCCCTATGCGTCTTTGCGTGATGCGAGAAGTTATCCTTTATACGCATGTTTGTAATAAAGGGATTAGGGACACATGTAGGAGTGACGGGATATAGCGGCATACTCTCATCGAGTCCTGCATGTTCCTTTTGTGCTTTGTGTTGTGAAAAGAATGCCCTATATGAAAACGTGCAAGTGAATAAAAGAGAAAAATACCTATTAGTTCATATATTCAGATTTTCGTAATCAAAAGTATAAAGCATAACTGTTCTAATAACTAGAATTTTACCGATGTAATCGCATCTAATTCTATCATTTCTTTTTTTCTTCAACAGCTGGTTTCATTCTTTTTCACTATGAAAAGTGATAAAAGTCCACTTAAAAAACTCTTCCATGCATTTAGTTAGTAGTAAAGCAATGTCAGATTCTCTTCTACAAAGAAATTCCAATACTGAATTAGAACTAATCAGCATACCACTCACAACACAGAACACTGTAAGGTAATATCGGCATTAGACGTTCCGCTAGGCGAAAGGCAGTTCAACGATTATTAGGATTATCGAGCATAATTAAACAACTTATTCGCGAGAAAATAGATTAAGCACGTGTACTTGAAAACATTTAAATACTTACTCTTCAATATTGTCGGATGGCAAGTTTAAGGTATCTTGTAGCTTCACAAGTGTTACAGCAGTACCTATCCCTCTGGCAACAATACCAGATTCACCTTCCAGATCAAAATTTTGTAAATATCTGTACATGGATAAGCAATTACGTATTGCATGTATTTGAAATACTCTAATTACTCATGACAGCCTGTATAATAGTCATCCAGAAATATAAGCCTACCCGATAACAGCATTTCCACCAAGGTCCAAAGCTTTCAGTCCAATTTTTCTCTGAACTTCTCCGCTAAGTTTAAAAAATAACGTTTGACGTGCTTCATTAGAGGCTCTGGGTGTTCTTATTTTGTCAATCCATTTGTATTCAGGATCATCGCTAACAACTAGCTCCTCAACAAAGCCATGAATGCTCTGTGTATGGTACCCATGTGGTATATTCGGTGCTGAAATAATATTCAATGTATTTATCATGGAATATCATCTCTGTTTACCAAGAAATGTTTGCATATTTACAATAAAAAAATTGTACACCACAGGAGGATTGTCTGAATTTGTTAAAATCAGAGAATAATTCTACTTTGACTATAATATTGACTTCACCACGAATACCATGCATCGTGTCATATACAGGAATCCACCCAGTCATGACTGAACCTGGAATAAAGAAATGTTAACTCAACTTCTAAAACAATATAATAGTTGCAATTAAAAGCTAACCACTCTGGGAACCAGTGTTTGTATTCATGGCAGCCTCTAGTGTCCAAATATTTTTAACAGTAGGAGGTACTCCAGGCAATAATAATGGATTTAGATTTATGTAAACTTTGCCTATAGCATCATTTGCAGAGTACGTGTCATGGTCCATCAATCTAATCTGCAAGGGCTCATCCTGTAGCTCTGAATCGTCAACTTCGAATCTGTACCATTCAGAATTCCACTGAGGATTCAAAGACTTTCTGCACACATCTGTCTTAAACGTTATATTGCCAAATTTTAATTCTACATAAGCATCTGTTGTGTCTCCTGACCGATCCATCACTGGCAGGTTACGACCCGCCAGTACTTTCACTTTTATTTTGCCTGGCATTTCAACAGCTAGTGTTCTAATGGAAGTCTGTAACAAGTGGATTGTGATTATTATGGTAACAATAACGATGAAGGTTATGTTTAGAAACAAATCTTTCTTAATGAAACTTTATACCTTCTATCAAATTAAACATTGAGAAAGAATTAGTAGAACTAGGTGAAATGTTTGAATCGTGTGGAGGTACTTACTTTCGAAACACTTAGAATGCTATTAACGTTAGCTATCGTATGAGATTCATTTGACGATCCAATGGATGATTTATTGCACTAATGCGTGGAGCTTTTATTTCGACGAGCATATATTAAAGCACTGTGAGCTAATTGTTTTAGCGAATGGTGCGATTAGAACTTCGTTTCGCGCTAAGCTGATATTTGTTTACAGTCACATCGCCGAAGGAATGCATCGCGTGGTTTCTCACGAGATTTAATGAATTTGTTGGTCGGATTTCACGGTGAACGAGAAATGATGCTCCGAAAGAAACGTTCCTGTGACGGAACTTGATAAAATAGGTATAACGCAAATTTCTGAACCGATGCTCGTTGCTAATTTTATCGATTACTTTATTGCTGTCAGTATCCTTTCGCTTACCCTAACGTTTCACCAACAACGTACGAAACCCAAATATTGTGTGCATTATAATTGGAATTGGAGTACGCCCAGATTATTGCTCTTTAAGGAATTTCTGCGTTTTATTGGTTTAAACGCGGAGCATCGCAGTGATTTTGATATGTCCTCTATATTACATACTTCTATTTTAGGTTACAGTTACAGAACCGAGAAGTGTGCTCGTGCTCAATTTGAAAATTTATAAACTTATTACCGACCGAGGAATGATTATCGATTGCAGCGCGTATGTAGTTCAAGGAAAAACAAACAGGCGGTGATTTGTAGTTAAAAACTGTTTCCCGCGGGGACAAGTTTCTGTGATAGTCACTTGACGCTCTTTATTCGATTAAAAAGGTTTACACTCTCTTCGCAAAGTTAGTTTACATAATTAAAGAAGCCAACTGCTATGTACCTATATAAGAAAATTGTTGCATTCTTGTCCTTTCTCCAGCGACCTTCACCGTGATAGGAAAGACTGCAATATAGTCCGCATGCGTTATCAACTAGTGGGGGAAACTGCATGTGCATTTGTGCATTTATACGAGAAGCAGAGGATTTCCGCAGCATTCTGCTTCGCGCAACCGTATGAGGTGAGAGGATGTTATTGTTCTTTGCGTCTATAGCCAGTCTCCCTCATTTCTGTACCTTTATTTACATGCGTTACCATTACCTGTCTCAAGCAATCGTAGATGTTCTATTATTGTCGTCCCCAATTTTTAATTCCACTTCGTCTTAATTCTTTTTCAGCACGTTCGTCCCGCTGTTATTTTCGTCACCGATTCATGAACTAGAAGGAAATTAATTCGAACGTGTACGTTTTAATTTTACGATATCCGAATAATCTTGTTTATTCGATTAAATGCATGTGTGACTTAACTCATATGATTGTCTTTCGCGATTATCAGACTGAACTCAATTCTGATTTATTTTACGAAAATAGAAACTCTCGTATAGTCGTCACACATGTAGTTATATATTACACATTAATAAGTTCTTAAATTTGTTTATAAGTTCCTCACGTGTTACATAATTTTCTCTTAGCCAATAATCCTACAAGAAATTATTAGACCATGTTATTCGAAAATAAATTCCTGTGGCTATTGAAGTGTGAACTCAATAAAACTTACATTCAGTTCGATATAGAATGTAGACATTAAAAATATATTGTTCTATTGTTCGAGTACAGGTGAGGGTGAAATGCGTTATACGTATATGCACCGCTATAGATGCATCCGTAATCCGTAATTTACCCATACGTTGGGTATCCTCTCATGCAGTATTGCAACTTGCAATTTGCAACAACTGCAATTCGGTGTCATTTGGCCTACGCCAATCTCACGTTATAGGGGGCCTCTCGAATCTATCTATATAGTCAGTGGACAAAAAAGGACAGCCAAGAAAAATAATGTCGGGCACGAATGAAAGTGAAATTAGTGAGCGGCGGTAGGCAGGCAGTTCACTTCCCGTTTACTTTTCATCTGGGCGTTGTCCCTTCGTGAACGGAAAGCGCTCTCCGTTTCAATCGGCGACCATGGGTGACAATTCCGCGAGGTTAGGTGAGTCGGTAATCAATCAATGATCACCTGTCAAATTCCACCTATGTCTCGTACAATTATCTGACATTCTTACCGTCGTTATTTTCACGCAAGCAGAGAATTATGAAATGCTTAAGGCTCTCTACGATTTCAAGGCCACGTTCGCCAAGACCCTCACTTTCCAGGAGGGTGATTATTTCATTCTATACCAGATCAATACCAAGCAGAGAAATTGGTGGCAGGTGGTCAACAGAAACGGGCTTATCGGGTACATACCATCGAATTATGTCTCTACCATCAAGGTATGCGTGCGAAAAAATTGTAACATCTGAAAATTTCATTTAAAATAACCGAATGTGGTCTTTTAGGTACCTGCTCAAACGTTGATAGAATTTTTGGAGGATTGCATTGAACATGTGAAGGAAGAGACAAAGCAGCAGACTGGATCCTTGTATGTGGAGAAACAAGACCTTCTCTTGAAATTGATAGAGAAGAAAAGACAGGCAGAGTCTAATAAGAAGACTAAGAAGCAAGCTCCAATGCCTCCTGATTTTGGGAACACCACGCCTAGCAAAGAAATATGTTCACCTCTCTATAATGCCAAAGAGGGGGATGTTAACACAGCTCCTAGCAATACTTCTTATATGACAGCACAAACATTGCACACTAATGCTAGTGATGATAAAGAGGAAGAGCCTGTTGTTCCACAATGTCAGCAAAGAAGACAATCTTTGCCAAGACAGTCTTCTTCGGAGACTCAGAAGATTCAGGCTGAGATAAAGAAGAGTCCCTCCCATGGCAGCAACAGGCAGACTCCCACTAGTTCGCCTATGAAAACTAAATCAACTTGTGATATTAATTCTCACACAGCTTATCAGCTACTTGACCAAGTTCGTAGGAATACTCAGTTAAGCTATGAGATGTCTAAGGTGGCAGTCACTGTAGTGGTCACTGGACTCCAGCAATTATTGCCCAAGAATGTGAGCCACTACTTCGATGTACTGCTGCATCAGCTGGAAACACCATTTACTGTGTCACAAATGAGCATAGAGGAGACTTATGATGCCAATAGATTGAAAGTAATTTTTATAGAGCTTACTTCCTGCAAGGAAGATTCACAACAGAGAAATTGGATGCTATATGAAGATGAATCTGTTATTGTTGACTATATCAAAGAACTTACCTCAATATTGGTACATTAAAATACATTAGAAAGTTGAATCATTTAGTGTTTAAGTAGATTGCGCGTATACATGATTGAATTTTGCAGACGAACGCAGATGCGAACGTATCTAGATATATTTTGCAACAGGATCAGTATAATGGAGTTAATGTACTAATACAATATTATCAGATGGAACCCAGGTGGACTATTAGACAATTGTTGTTACAATCGTTTGGGGTGATGTGCAGTTTGGATTCTGTGATCTTAACTATAATGTTAAACAGTGTGTTGCCCATGGAACTGGCAAGGTATTGTTCGCTATATCTTAAATAAATCTATGCAACAGTTGAATTCATATTTTAAAATGTATTTTTAAATAGGGACATGCGGAGTAATCCTAGGAATGTAACAAAATTAAATTATTCTTCGTTATTGCTTACTATGATTTTCTCAATGGGTGAACCTATGCCAGTTACTCACTTAGGTGAATAAAATAGGTAGTATGGTAGTATAGATATATGGTAGTAATTAAAATGCTTTAATCATATATTTCATTGCAGAGCAACTGGGTCCAGATTTCATTGCCTTTGTTCTGGATTTAATAGAAAATCCCCCAGACATGGACTTGGAAGATCAGATTTCAGATCTGTTTGTGAATTTAATATTGTCTTACAATTTACAATTTACAAATTCGGAGAACATAGTTCTGAACACGCTGAAGGAACGAACAGTGGCAAAAATTTTTACCGAGAAAATTTTACTTCTGTTCAATAGAGAAGGTAAGCGTAAAATGATATGTAGATTTGATCTAGATTTTAATGAAACACCCTTTCAGAGGATCCAGTCCGTATATTTGATCACGAACCGCCTCCACCTCATTCTATACTCAAATTATTTATTGACCTATTCAATAATGATGTTACTGCGGGTCTCTTTTACACCAATGATGTAAAAGTTCTAATTGATATTATTTTGCGGCAGCTATACGATATGTTTCCTGGGGATAAGGTACTGAACATAAAATATAACCAATTACAATGATATTTGAAACATCTAGTTCAATTATCGCCGTTCTTAAATAGAAGATGGTGCCACGACATGGAAACCATTGAGGAAAACATAATTAATAATTAATTATTATTTTTATAGCGTAGGCAGTATTTAGAATTATGCAGACGAGTTCTGCGAACCTCCGGCTACAACGAGCACAGATATCGCTCTGAGGACCTACTCAAATGTTTCACAAGGTCTGTATTTAGTTTAATCAACTTTATTCTTTCATGTTAATAACAAAAATTGTTTTATAGAATATTCTGCGAGGAAACCGGAGAGAGCCAAGAGGATCAACAGTCGGTACGCGAAATCAGCAATGAATTTCCGCATTTGTTCAAAATGTGACATTTACTTCAGTCCTCCGACAAGCCTGACTTGGAAGAGGATGATTTGCAAACTCTAGTATAAATGCGACTTTGGTATGTATCGAATACATCGGAGCAGAAGATGAAGTACGAATCAACAGGTTACCGATCAGAAATGTTCTTTATTTTTCTAACTTCGATTTTGCATATATTTTGCTCAGTCGATTGTAATTATTACCGAGTACGCACACTATTCGCAGAACCTTCGATCGCATGAAAGATGATATTTTTTTCCACTTTTAATCTTTGTAGTAAACTACAAAATCTAGATGAAAAAAAAGACATAAGTTAGATCTGCATTTAGAAAAGAAATCGTTGTATATATTGTAAGCGAGAAACTTTTTCTCATTCTAAGCATGAGGACCATCAAAGTACAGTAGAATTATTTTAATTCTCCTGATAAATGAGCTGAAATTAGTCATGTAATGAGATAAAGTAGACTGCACAGATAAAGATCACAGATTAAAATATTATTCTATTATGCTAATTAAACAAATTTTGAATCTGTAAAAGTTATTTATTAAAAGAGAAAAAGAGAAAAAGTTGTCCATCGGAAAAAGAAGGAATTTAATCTTTAACGAACAACAATTATGGTCTCTTGTTCCCTGTAAACCATAGTCTAGTCCGCGTATGGGCGTGTCCGTATAGTGTTCTAAGTCATTCGCTATTTACTAATTTATGTTCGACATTTTCTTGTGAACGATATCTATTTAGCGTACCTATGATTCAGAGTATTGTAAACGATATGTTTCGCGAGTGTTCGCGACGAAATTTCCAAGTTAATTAGTGCCACTATCATAATATAGTTATTGAACTTTCTAGTCTATTGCTAGCGACTCTATTTTTTTAAAAGTATTGTACCACGTTACGTTTGCGACTATTGTCATGTCAATTATAAAGAAGTCTCTAATTATTGTGATTATAAATCAAATGTTAATGAAATAAAAGGGAGTCTAGGCGATCGAAGACTTTTTCCCTCGTCCTCTAGGTATATACAAATTTTAGGTGTACAACGGCGAAGTTGTTTTTAATGGTATTTTATTAACAACAATAAATACTGTCCATGAAAAACTTAGCAGGCGTGATGCAAGTGTATGAGACTTGTGATTTCGTTACATTATAATTAATGATAATTTGCGTACGAAACGGTTAATTATGTAGGCGGCACTCGTTAAACAGGAGGAGAATTGGCGCGAGACCGTCGGTATAGCCACTGGAAGTCATCCTTGATAAAAGTGTAAGTCTCGAGATCCGATGAACTTGTCCCTGAAGAACCGGAGGACGCGTCATGACGTTAGGAGGAGACCTTTGTACGTTTTTTTTCTTTTTGTTCAGACATTGTTCTCGTGCATTACATTATTTTTTGGTTTTCCTTTTTTAGAAACACGCAGATAATTAGTTTTGAAGTAACGCGACCGTCGCACATTTATCGTGTTCGAGATGGATTGTGCTGTACCACCAGTCAGAGTCTGTTTATTCTCCGGTCATCATCTCCATGAATTCTGTAATAGAGAGCAAACTATATTTTTCATCTGGTCGAAAATAGAATTAGTATCTGCGAAGCCTGTGCTTTTCACGAGGGGCAATATGTAATTTTGAGGAAGAAGTTGGATGTCAGATTCAATAAATCACACAAACTTAGAAGACAGTCCGCCTAAAATACGACGCGCCGAGAAAGTATTAACAGGTAGTCGGGCTCAACCGTTCCAAGCCAAACAAAAGGGAATGCCGAGACACAATTCTTATATTTACTGTTTACCGGGCCGTTTGTTTTGCTGCGATTGGCAAAGTTACACGCCGGATATATTATTGCTAATATGCGAAGCAGTTTGCAGGTTGTTTCAAAAAGGAGAAATGCCAAGTGTCGTATATCGTAGTTGGACCGAAGCACCGGCGTCATCTTACATAATTTAAAATCGTCGAGGAGCTGGGTTGTACGCGCAGACATAGGAAACTTGGATTCTAACGTGATGAAACGGCGAGACGATTTTGAAAATAATTGTTATTTCCACTCGGATCGCTGTTATTAGTATGTACGAAAATAGAGAACAACGACGAAGATAATAATTCTTGCCTGTTGACACTGGTCTAACTTTCGTGTTTACAAACAATGACATTGCTATTTTATTTTTATACGGTAATTCGTCATTTTGTAAAGTAACTGATGAAGATGAAAGTTTGCATGAAGTCTAAACTATCTAATTATGAATTGCAGGTGGAGAAGTTGCTGAAGATTTCTGGAACGTTTCCTGGAATTGGTTTCTGAGGCAGGAAGCTGCGGAAACCTTTTCATCGATAACGTGTAAATATACAAAAATGTATGCTTGAAAAGCGCATGCTGGGTTCCACAAGCAATAACAAATGTTGACGTTATTTATTTCACGACTTATGCATGAACATTGTAGCAAAAGAGGAGCAATATCAGAGTATGAAAAGCTTTTCACTGTAAATCTAGAAATCTTTGTACATGGAAAGATTGCTGTTAGGAGAATGTTTGTGTGCAAATCGAAGAAAGAGTTTACCATCGAAGTCTACCGTGCCGGATCCATCGGAATCGATCTCCTCGATCATGATGTCCAGTTCCTCGTCTGTGAGCTGGTCATCAAGTTCTCTCAAGATTTCACGCAAACACGTAGTCGGGATGTAGCCGTTTCCTGCGCAGAAAAACCCGGGCGCCATTCTGAGTCTCATAATACAAATTCAACGGAACTTAAACAAAAGGCGTATTAAAACTAAATCTGAGCCTGAAGTCCGCAAATTTCCTACTGGATGAATTTTCATGCGATGCTGTCTTCAGGTGTGATGAAAAATCGCGTTAGTCAAGGGACGCGTTTGGACGATCAATTACCGCTCAATCTTACAGCAGGATTTATAGGTGCAGGAAGAAATTTAAGCGAGCGGAACTGGCGGCATTAATTCATGTCCGAAACTCTTTGGTTTAATCGTAATTCATAGAAGATTCGTGGCGAAACGCGGACGATTTTTGGCCGGCGGCCCGTCAGCCTGCTCGAATTCGGTCAGCTTTCATTCCCATGCAAGACGAGACGTCAACAGCGCTTTTACTACGCGTTCCGAGAACAGTGTGCTATTTCGGTGGGTCGGATATATATCATTCTCCATTCTTCTTTCGCTTTGATCTCTTCGCTCACGTTCTCCAGTTGCGCGACAATAATCGTAGAACGCGATGAATCGTATCAACTTAAATATACCCTGAAAACTTAACCGGACCGCAGAAATTCCTACCTTCTTTGTCGTAGAGCCTGAAGGCTTCCCGAAGTTCCTTCTCGAGAGCCTCAGCGTCCTCCTCAACAATGAACTTCGCGGCCAGCGTGACGAACTCTTCGAACTCGAGGCGTCCCGATTCTGTAAATTAGCAACGAGCAATTCCATTCAATCTGCGTTCATTTTGGTGTTATTTACAGTCGGGGTAAACGTGAAGATTGTATTTCTCTACCGCTGAAACGTTACACGCCGATTGAGTGCGATTAGACTGTGGATCTTCACGCATTTATGGTATTTACGTACTTTTGTTTAGCGCCACTTGCTAAGGATGCACAAAGATTCGCAATCCCGTAATTAACATTATTGTTACGCGTAACTACATTATCAGTTTTATAAGTGATTGTTTTAGGCGACTTTGCGGCGTCTGATCAATCGCGGGCTTATACTACTTACTGTCAGCGTCGACTTCCTCGATCAGCTCGTCGAGGGTCTTCTTGTTGAAGGGTTGGCCCATCAATCTGAGGATGTCGGCGACCATGTCGGTAGGTATGCTTCCGCTCTTCTCCCTGTCGAAGCTGTCGAACGCTTTACGCAGAACTGTATCAGAAAAAGAACAGAATGCGTTTCCTCGTGCAAGAAGATTCGAAGCCTCACTTTCGTCGTTGCGTCGGGTTAAGAGCACTCGACGATACGGTTCAGATTTAGAATCCGATGTTAATGCCCTTCCGTACCCCCGCGATTCTGGCTCGACGCTTATTTGGCCCCGTGCACCATCGTTCATACTAGTTAGAACGTTTATTTATCGATGTCGACCGGCGGTGATCCGTGCGATGAAATTTTACGGTAATTTACAGGCGAGCAGATTCGTTATCACGCGGAAAAACAACGAGCGACACGCGATGCTAGCTACCACACGCTTCGGAAGGTGATTCACGTGCGAGAAACTTAAATCGTATAAGACGTCATTACGCGGTGTCTTCAGTCAATTCCTACTGTAAAAACGTTTTATTGCGTGATTGTTTTCGAAGCGAGAATAACAAGCTCTGGATCGTAAAATTGTTTTCATTCTACGGAATTATTTAATTTTGCACGATTACGACGATTCGATGGGACCGGATTAAATTGAGATGATTAATCTTGCAGTGTCAGAAAATTTCTATTGTCAACAGACAAGAGTCAAGAAAGTGAAATTAAGTACTTTAATTAATCGCTAAAATGATGATCCTATACCAAATCGAATGCTGTCACACCTCAATATTGCTGCTCCACAAATTCTTAGAAGCTATAAAATGCTAACAATTTTGTGTAAATATTCAATTGGATAAAGATCGGCCAAGAATTCTTCTCCAAGATGGCGGATGATCGCCGAAAGGATTATCCAGGAACCACGGGTCGTCGAATTTCGGGATTACGCGGGACGAGGCGGGTTTCTATTTTTCAATCGTCGGATCGTTTCCCTCTGGAGAAACCTTCCTCTATTTTTACCGATCCGATTCCCGCGATCGAATCGTCACGCGATATGCGCTAACTCGGTTCCGCAGCTATACATAGGCACCCGCTGGCTGCCCTCGATCGAATCGAAGCACAAATAAACTCTGGGAACGCGGCTTGTAGAAGCGGAGATAACTTATCCGGCCCGCTCGTTTCTCGCTCTATTTTCAAATTTTTTTTTACCCGCGCCATCCAAACCATTCTCGAAACAAGATCGATTTCTTCGTCCTCTTACGTGCTCGAGCCGCGACACTTCCGGTTACGTCCTCCACACGTCTGGCGCACAGGCGTTAATTTTTATGAAAAATTAAACGTTGGAAACAGCGAGACGAGATTAAGGGATGTGGAAGGTGTCCCTTATGAAAATAATAGAATTGAAGAGAGACTGAAAAATAGAAGAAGTCGGGCAGACGGAGAAACAAAATAATGAAAATTAGAGAAGAACGAAAGTTAAAATTTGATATTCATTTGTGAAGGAATGTGTGCTCTCGCGGGACCAAAAATCCTCGAACGTGTTTTAAGGGCAAGGCAGATCGCGCACCTGGCGTAGCGATGTTTCAGCAGGAAGCATAAATTCGCGACCGCGGGTAAGCAAATAAATGCGAAACACGCTTGTATTGTTTTCGCAAAACCGCTGACTGACAGTGTTCGGGCCAGGAAAACAATGTTCAGCGCCGGGGCCGGAGAGTGTTCTCCGCTTGCGTAAGCCTGAGATTTTGAAACCGACGATGACAGGCTTTCTTTGTCCCGGGATCGCGGCCTGGCACCCGAACAGAGGCAACCCTATTCTTTGGTCCGCGGGTTTCGTCGGCGTGAACAGGCGAAGGGACTAAAGATAGTCGACGCTGGTCGCCCGAGATCTTTCGGAACGATCGAACGGGTCTTTGACGCTGACGAAAGGGTCAGGAAGCCGAAAGGGAAACGCTCGTCGACGAACACGGTACAGAGAAAGAACGAGAAGAGGGCTAAATTTAGTTTTCGTCCAGTAAACACGATACCGTTTCGCTTTCGACGAATGTCGAGAGGATTGAAATACCGGAAAGCCAAGAATGGCACGACACGTTCGACGGATGTTGAATTTACGAGAGCCCTTGGAATTAATAACCGAATTGCAGGAGGCTTTTCGAGAAGGTCGCGCTAAAAGCTGATTAGAATAAGCCACGGCGGAATTCGTAGATTGTAGATCAAATTATAACAAATGTCCGTCGTATTTCTTAATTAGCTGTTAACGCAAATCGAATCAGGATGTCTAAATATAGTCGTGATCGGTAAACGCGACAGATATATTTCTCCGACATTCGATCTTCCGTTCGACTGGCGTTCTTTTCGAACTGATTTAGCCGACGATAGAAATTAGCATCGACGATTAGTTGATTGAATTTTACATACCAGCGATTTGTTCGGCGGGAAGTTCGTCGGCCTGTGAACACAGAAATAATGGAACTGTAGACGTCTGGTCCGCACTTGATGTCACTGAGATACTCGTTGCGATTATTAATTAATTAATTATTCCCACGCGAATAGAGACGTTCGAGAATATTATTGAAGAGAGAAAGAGAGATAATAGAGAGAGAGAAAGAGAAAAAGAGACGATTTGTTATTCGAATTGCAGAGTCTGTGAGCTGTTACCAATAATAAAGTGTCAAACCGAATTAATTTGGATGGAATTTTCGATGTGTGCGTTCGTGCAATATTAACATAGGTCCGACGAAACTCGTGCAAGATTCAAAATAATACGATTAATGTTCACTGTTCGGTCGAGCTTGCAAGTTTTATCACATGAAAAGAACACCGGAAACCGTCGAGTATAAATAAGAGGGCAGACCGAACGGCTCTTGCTACTTTCAGTAGAAACAGCCGTTAGTGGTCGGACACACAGTCGCTGCCTTTCCTCCAAACTCAAATGTTTGTTCAACAATTTTTCAAACGACGACTACTGCTCCAATCTGATCGGTCGCGTGACTTTTGTTTCCTGTTCCGGATGTTTTCGGTCTTTTGTTTTCGTTTTAACCGGTCGGTAGGAAGAAAGGCGTCTCGACAACAGAAATTCGCCATGTAAGAAACAGTCACGTTTCCAGGATCTCGGCCTCTGGGTACAACAATAATCACGATTAATTTCGATGGTCGTGCACTATGGAGTAAAAAAAAAAGTGAAACAAAAGGGCTATCACAGGCTAGAGACTAGTATGGAAAAAAAATAGTAAGATAAAGATGCCATAAACAGAGAGTGCAGTGGATGCAGGCATTCCGCGTCGGACAGGGTAAACGATCGCTTCTGCTAATACCATCAACTCCTTCGCTATCGTTATCACTGGTACTCACTGACAAACACAAAAACATTGTTAAACTACATAGAGAAAACCTCAAAACTTGCGGATCAAACAAAACGGGAAACTCAAAACAAAATTCCTTCGCTCATGGATTCCATGACACTCCAAAAAAGAAAAAGTAACCCAGAAAATCATTTGCAAATCTTCTAAATAGAGGTTCCGGAGAATTTCGTGTGCTACGAATGCGTCAAATCTGTAGACCAGTGGTGAAAAACGGTTTCGAACACTCCGGAAAAATCTGTTTAAGAAACAATCGTCCACACTGTCGTCCAAAGGTTCGAATCGCCGATAGACCGAAAGGATCTAACGAAGACACAGCGAGAAAGAGAGCAAATACAGAGACAAAGAGAGTGTGTGTGAGAGCGAGAGAGAGAGAGAGAGAGTGAGAGAGAGAGGCGAGACGCGGTCATCAACGAGGAGGCGTTGTGTATTAAGAAAAAAAATACGATAAATAAATAAACAGTAGGAAAACGTGTATGTTTACCAGGGCGACGACTTACGATATCATCAATAGAACATACCATGGTGTGGCGCGGTCTTTTTTTTTCTTACTTAAAACGTTTAGCTTAAAATCACTGGTATACTACTGTGTACTGGCCGGCCGTCGGTCTAGGATGTTTTTATCGCGGCTCGTTACCGGTTTTTGATTTCGGACAGAGAGAAAATCGTTCGGTGGTTGTATATGGTGGTGGTGTTGCTGACTGTCGAGCACTGTCACGAGAAACGGCCACCGTCGCGGTAATATTCGAATTGGAGGATATAGCGGTTGCGTGGCAGACCCGGACCGCACCCCGCTCTACCTCCAGCTCTCCGATCCTTAGCTCTCCTCTCTCTCTCCCTCATCCTATCTCTCTCTTTATCCCTCCTCCCTTCGTCTCTCCACTCTCGGCTTCGTCCGGTCTCTTCTATTCGCCTCGGTTCGCTTCTCGTAGCGGGCCTTAAAGCTTTTGGAAAGGCGCTTGCGCTATTTCTGGGATGCAGACGGTGCCGCGAGAGGCTCGAAATCAGGGCCGTCTTTTCGGCTTCGCCTCCAGACCATTTCCCCGTGCTTCCTCTTTCGCTAGAAGTGCATTCTTCTCGACGACCATAGCCATTGTTCCTACGTTAGAACTTACTTGCTTAGAAACGACCGCGGCGGTAGCAGCCGACCAACGCCAGCCAGACTCGATCTCGTATATAGATCAAGACAAGCAGAAACGATTATCTTTCATTTCGAAAGAATCCCGGTCGAAACGCATAATTGATTCTTTGAAGAATATATCTCCGTGCGGAGCCGTTGTACTTGTAATAAGTTCAATGGTAAAACTGATGTAATATTATATCGAATGTCTTCCCCTTAAATAAATAAACGAAGCGTGGATCGTCGTAGCTCGAACATTAGATTTCTGTACATCAGAAACGTCGGGTCGAGACAGAAAATAGATGCAACAGGATTTTTCCCCGTGTTGCCCCAATTCTTCCTGCTCAAACACTTAGCTCGAGATATTCGTACTAATCGAGAGATAATTGCTAGGACGCCAGTAAGATGCACCCCCTACATCTTCGAGCTCTAAAGTAAGAATTTTAATGGCTTCCGAGAAACCTTCTCGGTGCCGGCCGCGGCTGTAAAGAAGCTGGAGATATTTTTGTGAAACCGGTGGGTAGTTTGGAGAAGACAGCGTTCGTGCCTAACAGAGCCGTTTCATCCGCGCGTCCGACAGACTGCGTTATAAACCAAACTGAATAGGCGAACATGGCCTATTGAAGAACACACCGTTGAGCCTCGCGGACCGTAAAAATAATGCGAAGAAAGTTGGATTCGGGGCTCTTGAATTAGAACGTCGGGAGGAACGAAGCGACACAGAGCGCAACTGCTTCTGCACGAAGTAAATTTCTCCGGGCGAAAGTGTTTCTTTTTAATTTTAGATGCCCGCACGGGGGGTTGTTCCGTTGACTCGCCGATTTCTTGAATCGTTCATTGAATCAGCGGTGTCGCATACGTCTCCTCGGGGAACGATATTCGCCCGCTGTCGGTTACGAAAATAGAGAATGAAAATTGTACGATCCGCGTAAGCGACAGTAAAGCCAGCATACAAACGACAGGATCGATCGTTCGGACCTGGGGCAAGGAGGTGACGATGCCAAAAACAAAGGAAACAATTTATGTGTACGTGCGGACTGGTCAGTGCCAGTGGTTTAGGCGCATCGCTGATCTAGAACACAATAAGTAGGTCTATAGCGGGTCTGCTTAAGCCAATGCTCATGAAATCATCGTAGACGTAAAATTCGCAATCAAAACATCACTGTTCGGGCAATATTATTCTAGTCTCTTTAAACTATTTTTCTCGTTTTTCCCCCTGTGAAGTTTTTTTTGTGAGCCCTCGCTTAATCTTTAGGGATTTAATTTCTCCTTTGAGGACGCTCAGAACATTTTTTTAGACCCTAGACACTATTTTTTCCCACACACCTATTGAATAAGACAATACCCACATACGTTCGGTTCTAACAGTTCCACTGTTTGATCTAAACTGTTGTTTTATCCAAGATCCCCCAATGCATCGTTCTCAGCACTAATGTGTGACGTTTCTTTCAGCAGCAATCGAAACAGGTCGGGAGAATAATGGGGAACTTGGATCAGTATCGACGGGCTCCGTGGTTCATCCTCTTCGATATTCCTATCAGAAAACTAGTAAACAAAACGAATTATCTAGATGACCAATACTAACAAAGAGTTGTGGGTGACTGCGTGGATGGGTGCCAATAGTGTTCTTTCCGGTCTAAAACAACAGTAAACAAACATTTGCGATCTCACGCATTTTCTTCTCGTTGTTGTCTCTCTGTTAATAGGAACGGAGATGTCTGAAGACGAAATACAAATTGAGAAATCCTGTATCTATATCCACCTATATCCGTATTCTCCTTTTCAACTTTTTTTTAAAATGCCAATGTTCATGGCTCGATTTGCAACTGATTGTTATCGAAACGATTATCAAAAACTATATTCTGCGAATTGGAATATTTGTTCCAGCAAAAGTAGGGGAGACATTTTTAACTTTTGTCGACATTGAAATAATTTTGTATTTTATAATCTGTTTAATTATTGGCGCTAGAGAGCAGAAATTGTGGATGGTATAATTGTTACGATTGTATAAATCGAGGTTGAGCTCGCGGCAAAAGAGAAACTGGGAGGCTAGATCGGACGTCTGCGATCCAGGATTGCTGATGGAATGAGTAACAGGGTTATTATTGATGGAACATTGCCGGATAATAATGTGGGTCGGCAACGCGAGAACCGTCGGAGCTGCTATGTCTGGAGAATGCGGATTAACACTTTTGGAAACGATCCAAAACGCGGTGTGCCTAAGTGCCATACGTCGAACATTGTAGATTGTTATTTATCGGTGATACGATCGTCCAGCTGATTCCAAGAGATCGCCGGTCTCCAATTCCGAATCGGCCCTCATGCGTAATAATCGAAGAAATTCGTCAAAAGATTACGTTAATATCACGCGGTCAGATAAATCAAACCAGGAAGCTGATACGTCTCTGCCAAATGCACACTTATGATTGTGCCAATGCAAATTCCTTATAATATGAAAACTCGCGACACGGTTTTCCTTAACGCAGCTGTTCCTCCCCTTTCATTGCTGCTACTTGCATAATTTGCTAACATCGCATACGATTAAAATATGAGAACGAAAATCGACGTGATTAAACGGCACTGGCATCTGAATTAATTGCATGAGAATCGCTGCAACACGTCTTAGCAACTATCTAATAAATTTTTTGGAAGACGCGTGTCTGAATTTGCAAACACACGATTTAGCGCTACTCGTTTTTCTGATAAAAGCATAAAATCCGCAGTCGATTAATCACAATCTTTTATTTGAATGATTAAATCCACTCAAATGAGAAGTTAATAAAGTTCCGTACAAAGTAAAATTACTGTCTTCGCGTTACTACGAAACTGGGAACAGTAAACTAGTCGAACAGATTAATTATTTGAAGCGACGTTTCGACTAACATTTGTGATTCAGACTATAATGCCCGAACATCGTATAAGTAAATGTTTGTATTTTCACTGCCGCACAGGAATAGAATATACGATTTGGCGAGGGATTTTCCTTCGACGGGCTATATGCTGGCAAGTCTCCAATTCAAACAAACAAATAAAGCATTAGAATGACCCACGTTGGGCTGCTTATAATGGATTACAAACTGTGATCCGTTATAACGCGTCATCCGCGGCGGGATTGGGTCTAATTGATTCGTATTAAAATCATCGGCTGCCTGATAAAGCGTAATTCACGGACGAAAACGGATGCAGAGGCGTGTGTCGCTAATACAGCCGGTCGTCGACTGCCAGAAACATGAGTTTTCTAAACGCAAAATATTCGATAATAAGCGCGGCCCGTTAATTTACCCGCCGAATCTCGCTGGGCACAGTGACAGAAACCGGTAAGTGTAACACGATCAATCATTTGTCGCTCGTTTATACAGAAAATAGGCACGATCGTGACTCAAATACATCACAAATTTCTCGGTGGACTACACTTTAAAGATGCAACTACTGATCAAGCTGTTTCAACTGGTCCGGTAGTTCTAGTGTCGCTAGGTAAATGTTTTTACAGTTTACAAGACAGAATGAATAACTAGAAAAAGTTAGAATAATTAAATGATCTACATTGGCATTTAAACATTTGGAGTATGATGTAACAAAAGTTCAATGCATTCGAATTTTTGAGCAGGAAAGGCAGTCGATCGAGATTACTATAAATAGAGAAAATTTATTATATGTAGACATTCACTCATATAAAAAAATTAGTTACAGAGTCTCGCAGAACCACCTGACACAGCAAATGATTACAGTCACGTATTATCATACTGTATACATTATTGAGTTCCAGTTGATAATAGCGCGAGAAGTGCGCTCGTCGCGCCAACGGAGAATATATAATTAACAGCTGGAGTAAATGTCTTTAGAATGTAAAATGAGAACACAATTACTAGAGCCAAGAAGAGGGCATTGTTGTAGAAGATTGAAAAGGTGGTTGCTTCATAATCTGCCACTTCATTCTTTTTCCATAAAATTCTGAAAAAAATTATTCATTGTTATTATTGGTTGATAATAGAAACTCTTAAAAAACTATGTATTATTAAAAACTGTACGATCGTAAATTACCTCTCATCTTTCTCTTTTTTGCTCATCTTCTTATCCTCGGCCAACTTCCTGCTCATCTCCTTGGTTACTGCATCCTGTCTTTTCACTGCAATCTGTAAAGCCAATGACCACTCGTTTTATTTTCATTCTCAAGCATCACAGCTGGGCTCACAAACCATTTCTAATGCCACGGACAAGTTCCTTACCTTGTGTTTAAGGATAAATTTCGTATTTTTGTATGCAAGTGCAAGTGCATATGTGCTGGCTAATGTGACTAAAACGAAGGATATCAGATTTGCATAAATATCAATCAAGTGGATCCTCCAGAACAGCCCTGAAACAAGCAAAGAGGTTATCTTGAAAGAAATTGAATTCATTTTGTAATAATTCGCTTGTCTACACAATCATGATACAAACATGCATTAAATTTAATTGAAGATTTTGTTAAAATTATTGCAAAAATATCAAATATGACGATAGCCACGTTTTGTGTACTCACAGATGGGGATCGCAGAAACGATGAATGCGTTGCCATAGAAAAGTGCCGATGATTTCGTAGAAACATTGCGAGAAAAGTCTTGCAGAAGCAATTCCTCTTCTTTGGTAAATGCTTTCGATTTTCCCGACATTGTTCGCACCGTTCTCTCAGATATTTCAAGTTCTCTCTAAACAACAAGTTGTCACAAACTGTCCACACGAATTGAAAACCTTGCCGACAATTTAATACGCATGCGCAGCTTTTGGTAGTGTGGCAGCGCGTGTGACGACGTGTTCGTAGAAACGTCATTTCGACCATTTCGACGGTATACCTGGGTGTGTCGCCGTCGTCGCCAGTCATCCACTCGCTGTCACAGACTTAGGAGATAAAAATTACACTTCCACCCGTGTGAAGTTGACTCACCATATTAACCAATATTAATGAAGCATAGCTCAAAAAATTGTTCTTTAATTGTTCATAATTGCTCACTAATTAGTTTTAATTGCTCACTTATCCTTTTTGAGAAATATCCAAAAAACTTGTTGAGACGCCTAGTGACTTTTAAGAGGGACTAGGGACTTTTAAAAACACGAAATTTCTGAAATAATGCATAAAACGTGCTGTATGACCTACCAAAGAATTGCTCTCTTCTGATGATTACTGCTCTATAATTACTTTTAATTGCTTACTTCTACTTTTCGAGAAAGTGCCTAAAAATCATCACACGGTCTCGACTCCGTGACGGCCGGCCGATGTGAAGTTAGTCGAAGGTATAAGCCCGCCATTGCAATTCGATAAATAGAAGTTGTAATTTATCAATAGAATATCTTCAATGTAACAATTGTTCGACGCATTCGTGGTTTTAAAATCACTGTGCATGTTTGACAAGATTAATTACTTCCGTTACGAAATGATACGACGAAATAGCCATGGGAGTATTTAATAATATCATTAGCAAGAAGAGTTCTTGTAAATATTAAATATCGGAAAGCAATCAATTTATTAACGGACAATAATTTCTCGAAATATTCGTGCTTGAAAAATTATTTCATATGTCTGATTCTATCAATTATCTTCACTAACAAATTAAATGGCAAAATAACCAGTGGGGCGCTTAACCATACTTCCAACAAACAGAATTGTTGTGAATATTATAAGAAGCGAGAAATAATAAATTTATTAACGAAAGCAATTCGATATAATAACTAACCGATCGTTTTATGCAATTAAAAGTCTCCTCTCGTTATTTAAGTTTTGCGAGCACTGGGTAGCATCGTTGCAAAATTAATTGTTGCGAACATTAGATAATTAGAAATAATCGAAACTATCGATTGCCATCGATCACGCCATCAAGGTATGTCGATGTCAATGATGAGCAATTATAGGCAATTAAAGAGCAATTTTTTTGAACTATGTTTTATTAATATTGGTTAATATGGTGAGCCACTTCACACGGGTCATACTTCCGCACTGTGGTCAAATTGCTATATTTCGTTCATTTATGTTAACTTATTACGTTGTAATACAAATTTCGATCTACAGNAAGTTCTCTCTAAACAACAAGTTGTCACAAACTGTCCACACGAATTGAAAACCTTGCCGACAATTTAATACGCATGCGCAGCTTTTGGTAGTGTGGCAGCGCGTGTGACGACGTGTTCGTAGAAACGTCATTTCGACCATTTCGACGGTATACCTGGGTGTGTCGCCGTCGTCGCCAGTCATCCACTCGCTGTCACAGACTTAGGAGATAAAAATTACACTTCCACCCGTGTGAAGTTGACTCACCATATTAACCAATATTAATGAAGCATAGCTCAAAAAATTGTTCTTTAATTGTTCATAATTGCTCACTAATTAGTTTTAATTGCTCACTTATCCTTTTTGAGAAATATCCAAAAAACTTGTTGAGACGCCTAGTGACTTTTAAGAGGGACTAGGGACTTTTAAAAACACGAAATTTCTGAAATAATGCATAAAACGTGCTGTATGACCTACCAAAGAATTGCTCTCTTCTGATGATTACTGCTCTATAATTACTTTTAATTGCTTACTTCTACTTTTCGAGAAAGTGCCTAAAAATCATCACACGGTCTCGACTCCGTGACGGCCGGCCGATGTGAAGTTAGTCGAAGGTATAAGCCCGCCATTGCAATTCGATAAATAGAAGTTGTAATTTATCAATAGAATATCTTCAATGTAACAATTGTTCGACGCATTCGTGGTTTTAAAATCACTGTGCATGTTTGACAAGATTAATTACTTCCGTTACGAAATGATACGACGAAATAGCCATGGGAGTATTTAATAATATCATTAGCAAGAAGAGTTCTTGTAAATATTAAATATCGGAAAGCAATCAATTTATTAACGGACAATAATTTCTCGAAATATTCGTGCTTGAAAAATTATTTCATATGTCTGATTCTATCAATTATCTTCACTAACAAATTAAATGGCAAAATAACCAGTGGGGCGCTTAACCATACTTCCAACAAACAGAATTGTTGTGAATATTATAAGAAGCGAGAAATAATAAATTTATTAACGAAAGCAATTCGATATAATAACTAACCGATCGTTTTATGCAATTAAAAGTCTCCTCTCGTTATTTAAGTTTTGCGAGCACTGGGTAGCATCGTTGCAAAATTAATTGTTGCGAACATTAGATAATTAGAAATAATCGAAACTATCGATTGCCATCGATCACGCCATCAAGGTATGTCGATGTCAATGATGAGCAATTATAGGCAATTAAAGAGCAATTTTTTTGAACTATGTTTTATTAATATTGGTTAATATGGTGAGCCACTTCACACGGGTCATACTTCCGCACTGTGGTCAAATTGCTATATTTCGTTCATTTATGTTAACTTATTACGTTGTAATACAAATTTCGATCTACAGACGTTGTACTAAAGATATTACCAAAAGTTTGATAGATTTCACGAAATAAATTTTAATCTATTTCATTGTGATCGTAGTATTAATTAATTTAAAATGCAAAATCATGTTAAAAATATTAATCGTCCTTATACAGTTCCGAACATGTTGAATAATCAGAATTCTACTGGACTTGAATCTCTTTTATTCGGAAAATTTAACAGCTAAGGCATATTCGGAGAGTACATATATGTGCAGGAGACTCACCTGCATCTATATCGTGCAAAATAGGTGTGTTCATTATTACAATTATAAAGAATTAATGATTTTTGTCGCAATATTACTGCCTATAAGATTCAAACTACTGAAAATCAAATATAACGTCATTTGTGGCAAGTAAAGCTTTTTGTGGCAAAATCTTGAAGCTCTGTTCAGAGGTCCGTTCAGCGCCAATTAGTTACATGGCAAAACGCTAAAACTGCTAGCCAAATGATAACGACAAAGTAAATTTTTTTTTATTAAATAGAAAGTATATAAAAAGTATATAAAAGTTTATATACTTTGTTGTATTATGTTTATATTATTTGTGAGCCAATCTGCTTCGACCAAATATGTACATGTAAAATTTTTAGTAGTGTCCTTTGCGAAGAAATTGGTGTCAATTTGGTGTCAACTTAGTTTCTTTGCTTTTCACTTCGCTCCTCTCTAACAAATTCCGAAACACTTACTCTTTATTCCACACCTGCGGGGGTCCCAACTAATTCTAGAAAAAAATATTTTTCCAAATTTGTAAAATTTCTTCATCCAAATCCGATAAAGTAAATTACACCCTTAGGTCTTAGGCATAGCCATCAAAAATTACACCAACGATAAGTGACGCCTCTTGTGGGGAAATCTTGTAGCTCAGTTCAGGAGTTGGTGCCAGTGTTGACCAAGATCAGTTGTCATCACATAACCTTATGGAATATAATGAAATCTCGTCGAAGAACACACTTTTAATGATTCAAATTAGTTTAAATATCACAAATATTATTTCAATATGACTTCAAAATTGAAGGCTTGGCCAATATTTACTTTCTTACAGCCAGAATTTACATCGAAGATTCGAATGGTTCTAGTATTTGGTAAACATTGTTTATTGCTATTGATAATATACTTCATAGTAGTATGTAAGATGTTAACTATTTTTTAAAATTTATTTAAACAGGTAATTTGAACAATTCTTGTATAATTGTGACAACGAATCACATGGTATATGGTTTAGGAGACAATACTGGCGGCTGTCTTGGAATAGGCACAAACGAAAATAGTACTACTTATCCAAAACCAATTCCTGAATTAAATGAGAAAGATATTAAAACTTTAACATATTGCACTGAATCTGGTCAGAATTCATATGTTGCAGCCTTAACAAAAAATGGAAAGGTATGTTTAGTTTGTTTGTAGAAACATGTATTTGAACATTCTATTGACACAATAGCAAGTTTTTAAGAGTATTAATACTAATAAGAGAATTCATTCAATAGATATATGCCTGGGGACAAAGTGATAGTTTTATTAGTTCAAAACCAATGGAATTAACAGAAATTAAAAATGTTGTGGACATTGTTTGTGGAATGCATTACTCTTTAGCACTAACAGAGAATGGATTGGTAAAGTATATTATAGTAACAAAATGAAATAGAATAATTTTTAATATTACATAGAGACTGCTTGCATGCAGCTATATAGATGGCATCATCAGTCAAGTAAAGTAATATTCAAATTACAAGAGTTCGGGGATGATTATATAAACACGAAAATTGTTGGAATTAGTTCTGGTCATTTGTTTAGTATGGTAGTTACAGAGAGTGGTAACACTTACATGTGGGGTGCCATTGATACCAAGTCAAGAAGATACCAGATACCATCCAGGTCACATAGTCCTGCGTTCAAAGAATGGAAGCTAAAACCGTTATCTGGAGTTATAATTGGTATTATCAACTTAGGGTTATCAATATTTAAAGAAATGTATTCAGGATATTTAAATAAGTTGTTTTGAAAATTGGAAAAATGAATTGTTAAGCCTTTCTTGAAAGAAAAACTAGTAGTATTGTTTATTAGTAGAGTATATTTATATGTATAGAGAAGGTGGTTTGCGGTTATCATCACAGTTTGGCATTAAGCATTGATGGATATATCTATAGTTTGGGTTGCAACTATTTTGGACAGTTAGGATCCTCAGGCGCAGAGGCTACTTCGGTAAAGTAATATAACGCAATTGAATGAATAAGGTTGAATAAATAAATGTTTTTGTAGTGGCAGAATGTACAAATAAAGCAGAAAATATTGGATATAGCAGCTTCTCCTCGCTGTAATATATCTGTAGCTATGGCAATTGATTATAAGATTTATATGTGGGGAGAGTGTTTAAGTCAACGATTTGTAGTTCCAATATTGATTCCAAATCTGTCAATACATGATGTTTTTGCATACTATGCATTGCCAAGCATCATGCATCAGCAACTCGTTATCAACAACAAAGAAGAAGAGTATTGTGAGGATACTTCAGAACCAGAGGACTTACTGGAACATCTAAGAGTAGCATTTGATGACAGTGTATGTTTTCTACCCATTCAACCTTATAGTCTTAGTCGTGTTTGCAAGATTTTTTTCTGTATGTTGAAGGCTACTAGTGATCTCACTATAGAAGTGTTGGAAAAGCCCATTTATGTCCACAAAGCTATACTGAAGATACGTTCTAAGTATTTTGCAGCAATGTTTAAAACATGGTTGGAGAAGGACGAAAGGTAAACCACTTATACGAATTTGCAAGGCATACTGCTGGATTTCACTAGCACCTGTTTTCTTTACAGTGTAATAAAAGTTTGCGAGTTCTCTTACGATGTATACAGAGCTTTCTTGAAATTTCTGTACACCAACGAATTTCATCTACCCATAGAGGACGTCGGAGGTAAGGCATTCAACATTCCTCTTATGTTCGCTAGGCGGGTATCTATCTGAGAGTAAAACTCTCCACAGTTGTTCTATAGTCTCGTATATGCGGGACCCGCCAGCCCTCTTACCCTTCCCTGCGTCTTCCCTACCTGTGCTGCGGAATTGTCAGACAGTTGTCCCCACGGTCCGAAACCGATTCATTTCATGAGAGTAGCTATCTGACAGTGGCCCTAGTATGACTCGAGTCTCGTGACTCCGCATACAGTTAGGCAAAACACGGGGAAGGGTAAGGAGACTGGCGGGTCCTGTACATACGAGACTATAACAATTGTCGAGAGTTTTAATCTCAAATGGACACGCGCCTCTATATTCACTTCTAGCATGTTTATCGCGATTTTTATATTCTGTTTTTCCATTCGTTTAGAACTGCTTAAATTAGCGGACTGTTACGGCGACGAAAATCTGAAAACGGCGTGCGAGTTCTTATTAACGAGAAACTTATCTCCTGCGCAAGTGATACCGACGTACGTACAAGCTACGCAATACAACGCTATGGTATGTCAAACTTACTGTGTCACAAATCGCTGTTTCTTATATAGTTGTAATGCAATGGTATTTTACGTTCTCAGACTTTAAGGACTAACTGTGTCAAGTTCGCTGCGAATTTTATGTCCGAAATTGTTGGCTCTCCGATTTGGCAACAGTTAAGCTCAGACCTGTTCAAACAATTTATAATTGAAGCTAACAAAACAAATAAGGTTTTCATTAGCTAAATTAAGCTTAGGTTTAATTATACTTACACAGTACAAAAGGTATGATCGAAGGAAAAATGAATAAAACATGATGGCTTTGTCCTTCGTACATTATTTTTATTACGATAATCTCAATATATACAAGCAGTAAATTTTTTTTTGTTGGTATAATATGTACGTAACTACCGATTATTAATAATATTCAATAATGGTATTTAATAAATAAACATTATATATATATATATTTATTTATTTATATAGGTAATATTAAGGTAATCGATTTGCCGTTTGGAAAGTAATTATGTGTCTTCATTTCGGTCGCCGCAATTGAACGCCCCTGTCCCCCAGAATCTCTGACCGCGGAGGAGTCTTGACAACTAGTGTCCCATGTTAAACATTCAAGACGGAGACAAGGCCGGCCTCGAAACAGCAATTCGCGGCTTGCGGCGATTTTTCGCGTATTTAATAATTATCTAAAGAATTGAAGACTGCGTTCTTCCTCGTTAACGTTACGTCTTCGTTTCCACCGCCGCGTGGTGTAACCGACAGCGCGCTTTCTCTGAGAGCAGGAAGACGTCGTCGAGTCGACAGGCGATCGAGAAACAGTGTCCCAGTACTCCCTAGCGTCCCGCATCTGTCTCCGGATTGTGGTACGTCAACGAGGAAGAACAGCATGCTTATTTCTAGGAAAGGTGTTCTGATCGTGTCCTTTTGTTCTTAAAAAGGCATCCGCGGCCTTCGAGAACCAAGGGGAACGGTGTCGGGCGGTCCGTAACGGCTGACTCGAACCGAGAATCGCTGCTCGACACGACAGGGAACCGGGGAAACGCGATCGATGCCCCCGTAGAAGACGTCGTCGTGTTGAGCAACTTGACCAGCTATTCGGCTATGATAATTAATTAGTTCTCTCTCTCTGTACTTTATTCATTCTCTTTGGAGTTAATTAGAGCGTATTTAGGCCTGCGGGCTACTTATCCAGCGACTCGCTGTGAATCCCATTGACAGAAGTCGAGAGAGATTCTCTCTCTCTCTTTCTCTCTCTCTCTCGTCCTCGACGAAGGAGGAAAGGAAAAGAAAACAACGATCTCTCCGCTAAAATCGTTTCTGTTAACAGCCTCGGCACCCATCGGCCCTCCTGCGTACCTTTTGCCCCCCCCCCCCACTCTTGTGGTCGGGTCGCACCTGCTGCCCTGTCCCGTACAATCATCGTTCCTTAACCTCGTGTCCCGCGAGGAAGCCGGCGTAGGCGAAGCGCGGCTTCCGCTGTTAGGTAACGATCGCTGTACAGGATTTCCTCCGTAGTGTCGTGTTTCGGCAATCTCGGAGTGACGGCCTTGATGCGACCTTGAACCAGAGTGTCTGACCGGGTCGCGGAGGACCGATGTCCCGACGACTTGCGAGTATTGTACATTAAATTACATACATAGAGCCACCATAGTTCAAGTCGTGCCACCGTGGTTAATATCGGGTTACGCTATCTCCCCGAACGTCTCCCGTTGGCGTCCTTTCTTATTCTCTTTCTCTCTCTCTCTCTCTCTCTCTCTCTCTCTCTCTCTCACTCTCTCGTTGCGCTTCTTTGCTTCCGCGGTTTGACGATCGAGAGAAACGACCTTTGTCGACAGGGCTTGGAACGGGGGCGTAAAAGTAACCGTTTAAACTTGTTTTACAAAAGGGGGTTCCGATTGAATCGGTCCCGAGAAATCCTTGTCTCGTGCAATCGTTCCAAACGACTGATATTCCCGACTAGTCTTCGGCACGATTTTTATTTAGCTGTCTGTATCGGCCACGAAGCGGTTCCAGAATCGATTACGGTTCGTTCCCCGCGCGAAAATATTACTTCCGAAGTTCCATCGCTGGGCGACCAAGTCGTAAACGACGGTCACCCCCCCGGCAGACGTTCGAATGCAACGAGAAGCACAAGAGGATGTCGGACGAATATTAAACGCGTCGAATGAACGATTGAGAAATGATTGTCGTAAAGTGAACGCCGCGAAATGGAACGGAAACTGAAAACAAGAAATCAGTGCTTTGGCTTTCTAGCTGCTTGATTTGTTACAACGCTTCGTTAGACGATCAATGATATGTGGAAACGTTTCTACGTTTTCTAGAATGATTATGTACAAAATCAGCCGCCAATAGTCAGCGATACCACCGATTTTCTGGAACCTTTCGGGAACCGACGCGACCGTCTACCCTCGATCGTTCGAAGAACCGAAATCTTCGTTGTAACAATGCCCAAGCCCTGCCTGTCGATGGTGGCTTCTTCCGGTTCCCGTTTCTTATCGCTTCTCTTTTTTTTTGTTTCGCGCGCGTTTCTTCGTTCGCACGCGTTTTTTTCTCCGTTTTCGCGTCGTTTTACCTCATGTGTGTGTGTGTATGTATGTATGTGTGTGTGTGTTGTTTTGTTTTGTTCGTTCGCTCGAGTTCACCGCGACGCCTGGCGTCGGGCGGTGGAGGATCGTTTAGAGTCCTTTGTACAGACTTCTAGGAAATCGTTCTGAAACCTCTGCCGGCTACTCTGCGTCGATCCCGAGGGGTTCGCGTCTACTTTTTACTTTTGATATTCGCTGATTTGACGCGTCCCGGGACGTCAACCGAAGCTCAGGACGCGCGAATTTTGTTTGCAGCCGCGCGGTCCACCGAACGCTCCCGATCCCAAACACGGTTCCACCCCGTTACCGTTCCGTTTCTGGCCCACCTTGTCCCCCGTCCCCCACGGGGCGTCTACTACTCGATTGCGACACGCTTCGACGAGGGCACGTTTGTTCCTCAAGATCTCAAGAACACTGATATATGAATGACGTTGCAGAGTAGATTATTTTCACGTAACGGCTCTGGGTTCGTTTGTCGAAATACAGTGGATCACTCCCTAATTCGCGGCCAGATTGCGCACAAAAGTGGACGATTTGGGAAGTGGCTCGTTTTTATAGTTACCGATTGTCTACAGCTATAAAAACGAGACGCGTGGCACGAATAATCGCATCTCCTCTTCCCAAACTGTCCATACTTGTGCGCAATCTGAGCGCGAATTAGGGAGAAATTACCGTATCCTGATTCGCGTCGAAGTCCGGCTGATGTTCAACGTTCTACGATCTCGTCGGCATATACCTATGCATATACGTGCGTNCCGAACGTCTCCCGTTGGCGTCCTTTCTTATTCTCTTTCTCTCTCTCTCTCTCTCTCTCTCTCTCTCTCTCTCTCACTCTCTCGTTGCGCTTCTTTGCTTCCGCGGTTTGACGATCGAGAGAAACGACCTTTGTCGACAGGGCTTGGAACGGGGGCGTAAAAGTAACCGTTTAAACTTGTTTTACAAAAGGGGGTTCCGATTGAATCGGTCCCGAGAAATCCTTGTCTCGTGCAATCGTTCCAAACGACTGATATTCCCGACTAGTCTTCGGCACGATTTTTATTTAGCTGTCTGTATCGGCCACGAAGCGGTTCCAGAATCGATTACGGTTCGTTCCCCGCGCGAAAATATTACTTCCGAAGTTCCATCGCTGGGCGACCAAGTCGTAAACGACGGTCACCCCCCCGGCAGACGTTCGAATGCAACGAGAAGCACAAGAGGATGTCGGACGAATATTAAACGCGTCGAATGAACGATTGAGAAATGATTGTCGTAAAGTGAACGCCGCGAAATGGAACGGAAACTGAAAACAAGAAATCAGTGCTTTGGCTTTCTAGCTGCTTGATTTGTTACAACGCTTCGTTAGACGATCAATGATATGTGGAAACGTTTCTACGTTTTCTAGAATGATTATGTACAAAATCAGCCGCCAATAGTCAGCGATACCACCGATTTTCTGGAACCTTTCGGGAACCGACGCGACCGTCTACCCTCGATCGTTCGAAGAACCGAAATCTTCGTTGTAACAATGCCCAAGCCCTGCCTGTCGATGGTGGCTTCTTCCGGTTCCCGTTTCTTATCGCTTCTCTTTTTTTTTGTTTCGCGCGCGTTTCTTCGTTCGCACGCGTTTTTTTCTCCGTTTTCGCGTCGTTTTACCTCATGTGTGTGTGTGTATGTATGTATGTGTGTGTGTGTTGTTTTGTTTTGTTCGTTCGCTCGAGTTCACCGCGACGCCTGGCGTCGGGCGGTGGAGGATCGTTTAGAGTCCTTTGTACAGACTTCTAGGAAATCGTTCTGAAACCTCTGCCGGCTACTCTGCGTCGATCCCGAGGGGTTCGCGTCTACTTTTTACTTTTGATATTCGCTGATTTGACGCGTCCCGGGACGTCAACCGAAGCTCAGGACGCGCGAATTTTGTTTGCAGCCGCGCGGTCCACCGAACGCTCCCGATCCCAAACACGGTTCCACCCCGTTACCGTTCCGTTTCTGGCCCACCTTGTCCCCCGTCCCCCACGGGGCGTCTACTACTCGATTGCGACACGCTTCGACGAGGGCACGTTTGTTCCTCAAGATCTCAAGAACACTGATATATGAATGACGTTGCAGAGTAGATTATTTTCACGTAACGGCTCTGGGTTCGTTTGTCGAAATACAGTGGATCACTCCCTAATTCGCGGCCAGATTGCGCACAAAAGTGGACGATTTGGGAAGTGGCTCGTTTTTATAGTTACCGATTGTCTACAGCTATAAAAACGAGACGCGTGGCACGAATAATCGCATCTCCTCTTCCCAAACTGTCCATACTTGTGCGCAATCTGAGCGCGAATTAGGGAGAAATTACCGTATCCTGATTCGCGTCGAAGTCCGGCTGATGTTCAACGTTCTACGATCTCGTCGGCATATACCTATGCATATACGTGCGTCTAAAGAGTTAAGCGGCACTCGGAGCCGCTACATTTTAGAAGAGGAACAGCTGAACAGTTACACGATCGGACGAAGATGGCCGGCTTTAGTGACACAAGATGGCCGCCCGCGGCGATTCCCGCTCGACTGCATACGCCGGAAGGATACGAAATAAAAATCAATAGAGTCAGACAGACCGGCTGGAAACGTTCCAGCCGACGTCATTATTCTTCCAGTCTTTCCCGGTCGCCGAAGATCCGCGCGAGCTACGACGGTGTAACGATCGCGAGAGACCGGGGCGCCATTGGGAAACTGGATGGCGTCCGAACCGGATGAGAATTAATCGGCTCGCATCGGGCGGAAGCACGATCGAGGAGGAAGCGTTGGTTCGCAAGGGAACCGAGCCGTCAAACGAACAGTTTGTCCTTTTATCTGAAACGAAATCGGAATGGAGGACCCGGTCGAGGAGGAAGCCTTCGGGGAGCGAAC